GAGAGAGTGTTTGAGGGGTCTAGAGGGGTTGGCAGGCAGGTTCCTGGTTTTCAGTCCAGGCTCTGACTCTGGTGATTGTAACCAACAATGCTTGTTGCCACCACCCCCGAGAGACTGCCCTGAGCTGCTCTATGCTGCGTTTTAAATTCGTTCCTTCAACCTGGTGACCAACAATTAAGATGACCCACTGGTCTACTGAAGGGAGATTCGAGATTCAGTGAGGCTGCCTCCCTTGCCAGGATCCTACAGGCGAGAACCCTGTAAAGGAGCGCTGAACCCAGATCTGACTTCGTGGTCACCCTTGTGGCCCCAGAAAGGGCCCTTGTCAGGATGCCACTGGGACTCAGTGTGGGAAGGGGTCTGTGAGAGGCTGGCTTTGATGACCTCCAGAGTGGCTTCTTTCCCTGGTTTCTGGACTGGAGAGAGTTGGGAGGGATGAGCACAGCAGCTCCAAATGACCACTGTCTCGCTTGGTCCTCCGGGTCCAGGCACATCTGTGATGCAGGTGATGGCCTCAGATGCGGATGACCCCACTTATGGCAGCAGCGCCCGGCTGGTATACAGCGTGCTGGATGGCGAGCACCACTTCACAGTGGACCCCAAGACTGGTGAGAGGCGGGCGAAGGCGTGGGCGGGGCCTGGAGAATGCGCTTGCAGGCAGAACCCCTGGCATAGGACAGACCTGACCCAACAGCATCGAATAGCACCTTGTCCTGCAGGACACTCCAGGGTCTCGGGCAGTCAGGCAGGAAGGGGGAAGGACAGTGGGGCAGAAAAATATGGGGTGGGGGCTCCCACAGGACTAGCAGAAAAGTAAAAGGGCAGGGGCAACTGCCTTGGGTGCCCTGTGAGGACCCCACCTATCTGAATCAGTGGCCTCATTTGTCCTTGGAACCCTTACCAGGGCACAGGTCTAAGTTCAGGGAGGAGAGGGGCATCTCTTCAGCAGCCTGGAAGTCTCTGTTCACATGGCATTTGCTAAGGAGCTCATAGAAAGACAGGATGGCTTCTTGTTAGCTTATTTGGCCAACACAACCATCCCCACTCCCTCACGCAGCACAGCATCAAAGAAGAGTGCAACCCCCATGACACCCCACTTCATTCCCTCTGGGGCTGAAACTTGATTAATCTCTGAGGAGCCTTGAAGGGGTGCCAGTGAAGGCAGAATGAAGAGACTGAGGCTCAGGGAGGTGAAGTGACTCCAGGTCACGCAGCTGCGATAGGTTCCAGTTCCGGTGGGGTGTGCTCACTGCCCTGGGTTAGGTGGGAGAGGAGACATCAGACAGCACAGCACGCGGATGCCATCACAGGACAGTGGGGGTAGGGGGTGGTATTCTGCTTGGGCAATTAGGATTTCAGGCTTTCAGGAGGCAGTAGCAGCAATCACCAAAGGATAGGAAGGCGTCAGCCAGATGGAGATTTCAGAGAAGGGCATTCCAGGCAGAGGGCATGGTGCAGGCAAGGGCTGGGAGGAGGAGAAGTGCCTGAGGCATGAGGCATGAGGGGAATTGTAATCAAGTCCGCTTGAGGAATCAGGCCTGGGGAGAGGGGATGTGGCCTGGCTGGTAGGGTCCTGACTGTGCTGGCATAAGCCAGGATGCAGAGTTTGGATTTTATTCTAATGGCATTGGTGGGAGTTAGGGGGGTCTAATGGATTGGGTTTGGGGTTTTTGTTTGTGTGTTTATTTCATTTTGTGGGAAGGGGAAGTCTATAGGCACAGTTATAATTGTGTTCTCTTACGCATAATATCTTCATTATTTTTTCCTCCTTCCAAAGTAATACATGTAGGAAAACATTCAAATATTAAAGAAATGTTAAAAAGAAAGACCTTCCTTGGTAATTGCAGCTCTAAAGGTAGCCACTTTCTGTATATATCCTATGAGCTCTTAGACTCATTCACTTGAAAAATATTGTCTCTTTTTTTTTCCAAATAGATTATACATTTCAAGGTTCAGAATTCAAAAAATTCAAACGAATATTTAGTGGCAACTCCTTTCCCCATCCAGTCCCCAAGCCATCCAGTCTGTGTCCCCAAGGCAACCAGTGTAATTTTCTTGTGAATCTTTGCAGAGCTATTCTATGCATGTACAAGAAAATAAGGCACATGTATTTGTTTTATTTTTTACATGAATGGTAGCTATAAACACACACTATATACATTGTCTGCCTCTTTGGCTTAACAGTACATCTTAAAGATTATTCCAGATCAGTTCACAAAGAGCTTTCTCGTTCTTTTATTTAATGCTTGCTATGGATACACTAAAATTTATTTCGCCAGTCCCCTATTGATGGACACTTATGCAGCTTCCGGTCCTTTGCCACATGCCACAGCTAGTAAACTCATACATACATGATATCCTCGTGTGAGTATGTCTGCAGGATAATTTTCAGGGAGAGGAAAACTGAGTCAAAGAGCACAAGCATTTGGAATAGAATAGATAATGCCAAAATATATCAAATTATACTCCTACAATCCACGTATGAGAGTTCTTGTTTCCCCTCCTCCTCCCCAACACTGCCAGTTCATTGATGACTTCTAAGCAGGGAAGTGACATGCTCGGGTTTTCATTTTAACAAGATCCCTCGGGCAGGTACTGTAGCGTTTGGCTCAGAGACAAGAATGGGAGGCAGGGAGGCCCCAGAGCATGGGGTGACCAGCACAGGGCCCCAGAGGACCAAAACCAAAAGCTTGTGTTCTTTCTCAGCATTCATTTGGATTCTTTAATTTGCCTGTCTAGTTAGGAAGCCGGAGAAGATGATGAATTGAGAATGAGGGTGGTCAGGGATGCTGAGAACGCTGGGTACAGTGAGACTCTGGAAAGGGCAAACACTGAGCTGACTCGGTCCCCAGAGTTAAGAGCCCCTGATTCCTCTCTCAACCCAGACCTGCATATTCATCTATACAAGGGGCAGTTCCTACACATACGGAGGAAGGAATGGGGACCTCAAAAACTGTCTAGGAGCAGAGGAATTAGTAAATGTGTCCTGGAGTCTGGCGCAGGGCTAAAGAATCCAGCCTTGAATATTCTGGCTTTACAGTGAGCGGAGACAGGGAAAGAAACATCTAGAGCTCCCAGAAGGCCATCTGAAATACGGTCATGGAGTTGTGAAAATGGTTGGCACTCTTTAAGCTTTGTCTTCCTGTGTGAACAATGGCGATGACAGAACCTCCCTCCTATGACTGTCGTGAGAATTCAATAAGAGAGTTCCTTCATCCATTCCGCATGTAGTGAGTGCCTCCTAAATGCCTGGCTCCATCCTTGGCGCTAGGAACACAGTAGTGGACACATTCAAGACTGTCTTCATGGAGGTTTTGTTGACATAGGAAGACAGAAAATAAATGTATATGTATAATGTCAAGTAACAATTGGCACAAAGAGGAAGAGTCAAACAGAGTGAGGGATAGAATTAGATTAAGAAACAAAGGCAGGCTTCTGAGGAGGCAGCTTTGGGGTAGAGACCCAAGGACAGTGAAGGGTGAAGCCACAGGGCTTTCTGGGTAAGATTACTGTGGGCCAAAGGAACAGGGACCACGTCGAGTGCTCAGCCCAGCACTTGTTATACGGTGGTGGTGGTGGTGGTGGTGGTAAAGCCTTCATCCAGCTACCCAGATGGGATAGAGACTTCAGGGTGGAAAGGCTTTGGGGAGGAGAGGAAGAAAAAGAGCACAGAAATAAGAGAAGGGCCAGGACTGAGTCTTGGGAGGTGGTTGGGGCGAACAGATGAAAGCTGACTCCAAGACAATTGGGAGGGCACCCAGTTTCTCAGATCACTGTAGAGGAACTGTACAGGGTGGGGAGGAGGGCAGCCAGTGGGAGGTCCTGGAACCCAGAAGAGCAGGAACAATTCCCCAGCAACCAGAAAATGAACATCATGCAAGGTAGGGCAAGAAGTTCAAACTGGGTCCTTGTTCTAGGGTCCTCAACTTCTCAGTCTGAAGGGTCCATTCTGACATTTGTTAGAAAGAACCAGACATTTCCTCCCCTTGCCCCCAGAGCCAGTGCCAGTGCTGCCCTGGTACCATTTCCCGGCCCCAGCTCCATTTCCCCAGATAGGAATATTCCGCTGATGCAGGTCTATATTTAGCAGCTGCTGCGAGGTACAGTCTGTTCTCGCTGTGCAGATAGCAGGGAGCAAAACCGGAACGAGGCCTGAGAGGAAGGTGTGAGGGAGGGAGGAGGCGGGGCGCCCGAGGCCCAAGTGCCAGAGGAGGGATTAACTTGTGTGTTTTAAAGGCCAGGCCTGCCAGCAAGCCCCCCCACAGGGGCGACGGGGATGGCATTTATGGGCTAATGAGGCATCGCATGGGCTCCAGGGGCCCTCGTGCAGCATTCCTAGGGGCCAGCAGGGGTGGCAAGGACAACAGCTGGAACTGGGGGCGATGGGTGAAGACAGGCCTGCGGGGTGTCGTGGCCAGGTTATAATTACCAGCCTCCGCCCACCACCCGGCAGGGATAGAAAGACTCGGCAACTTGATGATTCCGCTGAAAATTCTCAGCCAGGCCAGAGACGTCCATTTTACTGAGAAGAAAGGAAACTAACATTTGTTGAGCACCTGCTAACTGCCAGATCCTGGGCTCAGGCTGATGGACTAGACAAGATTTTGCCCTCACAGAGACCCAAGGCCAGAAACAAATAGGCAATCACACTCAGCTGCAAGGAGGCAACGGAGAGACGGTGGGAGCCAGTCCTCCAGTCCACGTTAGTCGAGCGTTTTGTGCCAGGCTTGATGGGTGGGTACACTGGTGAGCAACACCAGCACGGATCTCTGCCCTTGTGGAACTTACTCACGAGCTGCCCAACTCAGAGCTTGAGGGGAGGGATCAGTGAGGCAGCTGCAAATTGTGAGACCTGCTGCTGGAAGCTCCGTGTCCTCTAATCCTCTTGACAGCCACACCGCATGGGTACCTCCATTCTCAGGATGGGGAACAGAGGCTCAGGCAGGCTCAAGAACTTGCCTAAGGTCAGATGGCACGTAAAAGGCGGCAAGAAGACACGATTCCCTGTCTGTCTGACTCCAGAGTCCTTCCTTTTGACTCTGCTCCTGGATGATTCTGTGTATCCCTGGCACACAGTCGGCCTACGGTGATGTCTAATGAATGAAGGATGGAAAAGTGGACTTGCCAAGCCAGCAAGTCTCAAGGACAACCTCTTGGACTGACGAGGTTTTTGTGCCCCAGACCTACCCCCCCTGGAGTGCGGCAGCCTTCATGATGCTTCTCAGAGCCTCAAGGTAGAGTGAGAAGCAGGACATAGTAGGTGGGAAAATACACCATTAATTCCTCCCATCCTTTTGCACAGCCTCTTAGTGCCGTCATCCCTCACTATCTGTGAGAAGTTGGTTCCAGGACCCCTGCAGAGACAAAAATCCATGCAAGCGCAAGTTCCTTACATAAAATGCCAAAGTATTTGTTTATACTCTCTTGTATACTTTAAATCATCTCTAGATTACTTATAATACCTAATGTAAAGTAAATGCTATGTAACTAGTTGTTATGCCCTATTGTTCAGGGAGTAATAACAAGAAAAAAGAGTCTACACATGCTCAGTGCCGATGAATATTTTTTCCCGAATATTTTTAATCTGCAGTTGGTTGAATCCAAGGATGCAGATCAACCTACAGAGATAAAATTTGCAAATGCAGGAGACCAACTTTGCCTCTGCCATCAAGAGGTGGAGTCTGTTTCTTTCTCCTTTGAAACGGGGCTGACCTGTGATTTGTTTTGGGCAACAGAGTGTGGCAGAAATGATATTATGCAAATTCCAAGATTAGGTCTTAAGGGGCCTTGCAGCTCTCACTTTTGCTGTAGTCCTGAGATTGCCATGTAATAAAGCTGGCATACTAGAGGATGAGCGAACCAGTGTGTCCCAGCCAACCGCCAGAGATGTGGATGAGGTCATCTTGGACCTTCCAACCCAGTTGATCCTCCAGTGAAGGCCAGACAAAACCAACAGAGGAGCAGCCCCGCCAACTGGGTCTCTCTGTCCATTATCTACATAGCAAAATGCCCTAAAGTTAAGTGGCTTATCGTGACAATCTATTCTTTGTCAGAATTCGGTGGGCTGGCTGTGCAGTGCCTTTGTGGAGGTCATTCACTGGCTGTCAGGTTGATGGGGGCTGACTTGCTGGGGGGCAGCCGCATGCCTGGGCCTCCTTCTGTGTGTGGCCTTTCATCCAGGCTTCTTCACTGTACGTTGATCTCAGGATTTCAGAAGACAGACCCTAGCACGCTAGGACATATAAAGCCGCTGCTTTTGTCACGGTGGCTGATGTCCCACAGGCCAAAGCAAGCCACATGGCTAAGGTCAGACTCGGTGTGAATGTCGAGCGATGTAGTTGATGGGAGCTCTTCCCACAGCAGCCTGCCACTGCGTGTTACCTAGGATCGGGATCTAAGCGCAGTGTGGCCTCTGTGTTGCTACCTCAGAGATGCAGGGATGGCACCTGAATTACACACTGAGGCCTTGTGGCCGGCGTCCGAGTGAGAAGAGTAGTGTCCCAGCTTCTGGACTAGAAGTGGCAGGGACAGCAGGGAGGCGAGGCCCCTAGATGAGACCCCATGCCTGGGACCCTGGCACCTTCAGTCTGTCTGCGGCCTCTCCTTCCCTACACCCTGCCATTTCATCCCCACTTCCAGTCCCTCTCCCTCCCTCGTCTCCACCCTTCTGCTCACTGTGTCTCCACCGCTCTTTGCCCCCTTTTCTTTCCTTCTCTGTTTTTCTCCATACTTCTGTGTCTCTGTTGGTCTCTCTCTTACTGTCTTTTCCTGCGTATCTACCTGGTGGCTCCCTCTTCCTTCCTCTCTCTCTTTTTCGCTCACATTGGGTCTCCTTCTCTCTCCTTTCCCCTCACATCTCTCTCCCTGTTCTGCTCTTGCCTTCCTTCCCACCCCCAGGGCAGAGGAAGTGACAGGCTCCACCTTCCCAGTGCCACCTTTGTGGTCCAGAGCTGCAAAGGCTCAGCGGGGAGACCAGTGGAGGCCCAGAAGGGCACCTTTCCCATCTCCCGCATCGGAAGCCCAGAAGGGCACCTTTCCCATCTCCCACATCTTGGAACAGCCCTAGGGAACAGACCAGGAATCCTGACTACACGACTGAGAAAACAGCTGGTCTCATCAGCCCAGAGGACAGTGAAGAGGGTACCCCAGGAGCTACATCCCTGCGCTGAGAGATATGAGGACACATCTTACGGAGTCCTGCAGGGCAGTTCCAAGTGTGGATTCTGACAGTGGAGTACCTATTTGAATACTGGTTGGGTGCTTTATACTGTGTGACCTTGGGCAAGGTACCTGGCCTCTCAGTGCTGCTATCTCCTCGCCTGTGAAGTGGGTCGAGTCCTAGCACCTTTCTCGTAATGGTGGTTGAGAGGATTAAATGAAGCAATTCACTTAAGGTGCTTGGAATAGAGTCAGGCACAAAGTGTTCGTTGTTGATGTGATTATCATGTGCAGTTTTTCTAGCTGATCGTCAGGCAGTTTCACTCCAGGGTCCATTTGGCAATGTCTAGAGGCATTTTTGGAACTGAGCATGGGGTACACTGTCCTGTAGTAAATAGAGGCCAAGGATGTATGGGACAGCGCCACTCAGACACACACACACACACACACACACACACACACACACACACAAACACTCACACCAGAGAATGACCCCACCCAAAATGTCACTTGTGACAAAATTCTGTTCTTTAAGTAGGTGTGGTACTTGTCCCTGTTTTACAGATAAGGAATTGGAGATTTAGAATGGTAAAGGAATTTGCCCAAAATCACATGGCCAGAAAACAAGATAGATCTGGGACTTATCTCAAAGCAATCTGCTTTGTAGACTCCCCCATCTGTGAGGAGACCGGCCATGGCATGGGGTGGGGGTAGGGGTCCGTATGACCCTTGATCAGACAGAATGCTTGTTCTGTCTCCATGTGATCCCCAAAAGGCAGGGCCATCCATTCAGAGGCCTCCCCACCCCAGACTTCCCCCGCCCACACACACACACTGCTGCCTCTCCTCCTGTTCCATTGCCTTTATTGGAATCCAGGGACTGTTTGGGGACATCAGGAGTCAGAGCTTGGGTTTTATGGGGCGCATTATGGGGCTACTGGTGCATGACTCCACCTGGCACTTAGGCCCAGGGCGCCACCTGTCACCACCTGGTGCTCGGCATGTTGGAGTGGGTGTTGGGAGAGGCTCTGGACACCTGGTCAACTCCCCCTCCCCACCGACTCTTCCGCTGGCAGAGACACAAGAAGCCTAGCCTTGCCGGGGCACAATTAATCTTGCAGTCGCCTTTCTGCTCCCTCCCCTACTCCCATTAGCATCCTGGAGGATCCTCTGTTCAGCGTGCCCCGACAGGGAATCCAGGGCCAGGCGCGGCAGGGCCAGCGCCAGGATGGAGGATGATTAGATTGTGGAGAGGGATGCGGGTGGACGGGAATGTGGGCGACAGCTGTGACCGTGTGTGCCTTTGTAAGTGTTCATATGTACACCGCCCCTACATGTGGACCGGGCATGGGCGGTGAGTGGGTGCACCTGACCGTGGATGTGAGTCTGTCCACCTCATTAGACACTCACTGGGCAGCTACTGCCCACCCAGCTCTGCCCCAGGTATTATCGACAGGGACACATCAGGCGGAGGCCAGGCTCACACAGAGAATATCAGCGGCGAAACTGAGGCCCCAAACTGGGGGGGGGGGTCACACAGTGGCAGGTTCTACTCCCCAGGCCACTTCTCAGTAAGCCAGTAAGTCCTTACTTGTGTTGTTGTGTTGTGTCTGTGTGTATGAAGGTGTGTGGGAGAGCACATGTGTGGGCATTTGACAGTGGGTGTAAATATCACCCGTGTGTGTGTGTGTGTGTGTGTGCACGCGTGCGCGTGCATGCTTGACAGTATGTGACACAGTTATGTGACTGCGACTGTACATGTCTGTGCACATGAGAGTGTGCCTGAGTGCACACGTGCGGGTTATCTCTGTGACCTATGCGAGTGTCCAGTGGCCCCTGGGCCCTGCCAGACTGGCCACACCAGTATCTTCTGCGTCATTTGCTTCCTCCTGAGCTTGAGCCAGCCTGAAGAGCAGCCGGGTGGCAGGGCTCTCCTCAGGGGCTGGGAGCAGGGGGCAGGTTTCTCTGCCTCAGCCTCCCTTACCCTCCTCACCCTCCCTCAACCCCTGTCAATCCCCCCCTCCTCTCCTC